ATTAACAAATGTATGAATAACATGTAATTAATTATTTTTATCCTTTTTTTTTTCAAATGGTGCTTTAAAAATACATTTTTTTTTGTGGATAAGGAAAAAAAAGTAACTTAAAAACTGTTTCAAGAGTAAGCGAATGAATAAACATAAACATAATATTAATGACTTTCGCAAATATAAAGATAAAGTTAATTATCTTATATCACTTCAATCTATCTATCTTGCATTACTTAATAAATATGCAACAATAGAATTAAAACGAAGATCAGTTAAATCAACAGTTACATTACCATTTCTTTGTGTTTCAAGAATAACATTTTCACAATTAGATTCTATTTTAGTTTGGAAATTTATTGAAGATAAAATACATCATATATTTGTTTTGGAAACAAAAAATAACATTGGTAAAACAATAGCAGCATCTCATATTAAGAAAAATAGGTTAAATATATCTATTCAACTCCTTGAAGATTTCTTATTTGAAAAAGGTTACCGTTATATGTATTCATTATTTTATAGAAAAGATGGGACTATTGCTGGTGAAGTTAATATTGGTATTTATTGTAATAATATATTAAAATATGATATAAATGCAATTAAAACAATAGGTTCTTCAATTAATCATTATTTAACTGATCAATTAAAAAATAATCCTACTCTTGACATTACTAAAGGTGATCCTATCATATATAATTTGTTAAACAAATAAAACGCGACTTAATTATTGTCTTATTTGTATGATTTTTACCAATACTTAATTGTAATATTTCACTATTTTTCAATCTTCTTCAAAAAAAGTTCAATTAAATAAATTTTCAAAATCTAAAAACTTTACAAAAAAAAAAATAAAAGAAACGAAAAGTTATTTCTTGTTTATTCAATAAATATTCATAACAATTTTTTTCAAACCATCAAATGATAATTATTGTAATGACTACCTTATCTAATAACCAATTACTCTATGTTAGTTTTTTTAATTCCAAAGAAAAATATGTGATTTGTTCAATTAAAGAGTTTAATACATTAGTTGTACGTTTAATACCTTTTTTTTATTTCGTTTTTGTTTCCTTGTTTTGTCATACACTTAGTCAACAAAGATAATAACTTTATCTTTTATTTTATCAGTTGTTATCATAAACTAAGGTATTTATGAAGTAACAAAATAGTGAAATGTTTTATTTCAAATATTTTTGTTTGTATTTTCTTTTTGACGTTTTCTTCATCTGTTCAATCATCAAAAAACATCTACCCTAATATCTCTATACCCATTCAGTATATTCAACTAACCACTACTTTATTTCATTATTGAGAAATTTTAAATTAATAGTAGTTATTTATGAAATGAGTATTGACTGAATATAATTCCAATTTGAAATACAAATCCTTTATTTTTAATCAACTTTCATTTTATTCATTAAAACGAATAAGAAATACTCTCTGACTATCTAAATGACTCTTTGTTATTTGTAGAATCACATAGTGGATTGAAACAAATTTATTTCTTATTCAAAAATAAATCTCTTTTATTTCATACCTAAATGGACACAACACTAAACACCAACCAATATCTTCCTTTAAGTGATCAGACAGATGATAAATGGGAAATGCTTGAAGACATGATACCAATTGGTGAACTAACTAATAAAGAAAACATATTAACGCTGCAAACCAATCAAACGGAAGAAGGACTAACCAAACCTAAATAATTCACAATATCTTATTGTCATATTTTTATGGTACAAATTACAGTCATATTTTGTAATAAAATAATCATACAACTCAATACTACAACTAATAACTTGAACTGTAAAATAAGAATTAAACATTAGCAATTATTAATTATCTATTATTTAATGAATGAAAAGAAATAAATGTTATTGTATTTATTTATAATTTATATCCATTACAATATTGACACAGACCTTTAAATAATTAAAGAGATGTAAAATTAATATTAGTTTTTTGATAGTATTGGTATAAAAAAGAGATTCATAAAATAGATGATGTCATACTTAATACACTCCTTTCTAACACTTTGTGTAATTTAGATTTGTGCTTCTGACGATATTCAATAAAATATGAAATTAATCAAATCATTAAATATTATGTTTCTAATCTGAGATTTGACTAAATAAATCACTTTTAATGATTAATTTTTGGACTAAAGAAATACCTTAAATTGAATAATATCAACCGTTTATATAATATTGTAATTCTTCATGTGTAAACTGTTCTTTCTAACTGTTGCGATAATATTCTCAAAATTACTTCAATAACAAAACGACAATAGTTATAAAGTAATTAACAATAAACAACTGTTGATTTAAATTGAAATTCAACAACCGCCAAAAAATATGAAAAAAACAATAATAATAAAATGTTATATATTACATAAATATAATTATTAAAATAATAAAAATAATAAAAACTAAAAAAGTTTTGAGGTATGAAAAAAAAAACAAAAAAGAAAAAACATTGAGGATTCAAATAGCAGAACTAAAAATTTTTTAAAAGATATTTCATGGGAGAAGAAGCTGCATATAAAGAATGGGAAAAAGTGAATGGAGTAAAATATATTGAAGAAGATAAATTGTTAGAGTGGAGTGATTCTGAACGAGAACAAATTTTTAAAGACAGAGCATGGAAGAAAGATCCGTATTATTTCAAAAAATGTTATATCAGTTCAGTGGCACTATTAAAAATGGTGATGCATGCAAAACAAGGGGAGCCATTAGAGATTATGGGTATTCTTATTGGACAAACAAAAGGAGATTCGTTTGTAATTACTGATGTAGTTAGTCTTCCAGTTGAAGGAACTGAGACAAGAGTTAATGCATCTGCTGATTGTGATGCTTATATGTTACAATATGGAGAATACAAAAATAGTACTGGATTTAAAGAACCATTTTGTGGGTGGTATCATTCACACCCAAGTTATAAATGTTGGTTGTCTGGTATTGATGTAGCTACAGAAAAGTTACATCAAAGTATTAATGATCCATGGATTGCCATAGTTGTAGACCCTGTTACAACATCTACAAATGGTAAAATAGAAATTGGTGCATTTAGAACATTCCCTGAAGGATTTAAACCACAACAAAAAGCTGAAATGAAAAAAGTACTTCCAAGTGAAAAAATAGCAGATTTTGGATCATATTATGACTCGTATTATTCTATTAAAGTTGAATTATTTAAA